GTAAATGTGACTTAAGTGGGGAGAGCTGTTTGCTACAACGAGAGGGTAAGTTAGATACACCAAAACATTTGTGCACACCTTACCACATTAATGCAACCTGACTATGCTTTCAGATCGTTGCTGACTTAATCTATTGATATGACCTTCCTTTCTTATGATACTCAAGTATTAATAGCGGAATTTACGGTAATCATTCACTAATTCCCAATGGGTTTTCAATTTTAAATCGAGGGCTCGTTATCTATTTTGATCTTGGATACTTCTTCGCAAGTCTCCACAAGAAGACTCAAAGTGTAAGGGAATAGTATGTGGCTGCTAATTTTCAATTCAACTGACGGATTTATACCATAGCAATCCAATATTTCTTGCCATTTTAGCTCTTTATAGTTAGGAATATTCCCGAAGTTGTCCTTCAAAGGACCTAACAATTATGTGTGCTCCATCCATTATTAAAAGAAATTTATTCTTATTTAAATTTTGTCATTAATTGTATTTCATATTAGTGTAGGGCCACTTTTACATAGCTTTTTGAATAGATTGAGCAACGAAGGCTATTCAGCTTTCCTTTTATTTCAATCTATTCCTCTTGCATCAGAGTGAATTAGTCTCTTTATTTTCGGCTCACTTTCACACCGCATTTTATGCCTAACTCTTATTTTGTCCGTTTCCTTCTGCTTGCCCAGACTGTTTGCTTCCTGACCCCTTAGATGAAGATGCCCAAAGCATTTTGGAGTCACACTGCTCAAGGATTTGGGCCGCAGAAAAAAAGAAGATAAATGAAGGGGATGAAAAGGGAGATGATGAAGAGGAAAAGAAAAGAAATGATAGAAAAGAGGAAAACAATTCGAAATTTTTCAAGCGTTCACCAGTGGCACCTATACAGAAACTCCCACATATGCAAGCACTAACACACTTGACGACACCGACTCCCCAACTATTTTCTTTGAACCGGCAGAACGTTCCGCCCTCTGATCCTGCCCACCTCTCCTATTCCAATCAAAATCAAACAGACGTACCCCACCAGTCAGCGCGAATTTCCAACTCAATTCGGCATCGAGTATTCACCACCGAAGACCAGCAGGGCTTGACAACCATGCAGTACGTCCCAGAAATGATAGCCTCCTCACCTTGTGTCGGCAAGATGATGCCGAACCTTGTCACAACGTCGGCGGTGGCAGATGAGCTAAGACCGCATACGAAACGCATGCCTCTAGATAGCCTAATACATCCCCCTCCTCTTTCTACCACATGTGCTGGTGCTTGCACAACAGAAGCATCGCAGTGCTTCCTCCCGGCTGCAGTTAAAGAATGCACAAGAGGTCCTGACGGGAACTTTCAGCCTGACTTTTGCAACTTTACTATTCGGTCGACTGATAGTAATATGGCAGTGACTTCTGCATCATGTATGACTACTTCAGCTACGGCCTCCACACACTCAGAACAGCTGACCACCTATTATCGTCACCAAGTGCCCCATCTCTCAAACATAACGTTTAAGCAAAGTAAGACTTTCTGAAATTTTCGCTGATCTGTTAAGATTCAGTTATGTTGACTACTCGAATTAACATTTTTATCAATATTTCTATGCAAAATGTTTATATTCCTGCCGTAATTTATGCCTCTATTTTTCATTACTCCTTTAAACCAATAATCTAAAAAGATTGTAAATATTGTTAAACAGTTTCTTTTTTCCTGGAAATTCTATGCACCCCTTAAGTTTGAAGCCCCTCATATAACTTCTCTTAGCTTATATTAATGTGCGCTTGTACCAAAAGAGTCGAGCTACTGACATTCTATGAGTTAACCAGTTAAAATAGTGTGACAGTCTTTTTAGTCTATTTATCTTTGCTGTTGTCGACTCTGATAGAAGGAAGGGAATTCTTGATTTTATCACTGAGTCTTGCTATAGATTATCTTACAAAAGTCGAATTTCAATCTTACTCTGGCTTCTTTGGTATATTGATGGATTTTTAAGCCATGTTTTATAAATGTCAAACATTTGATAGCCTAATCAAACTGTCTTATAAACATAGTGATGTGAATCTCGGAAGCCTTCAATTACTTTGAAAGTTATGCGTAGAATGTGACTGACTTCCACTAGATGTAGGCAGATGCATAGATTGAAATCGAATGACCTTTATATTTGTCGTAGGTAGTCGATATATCAAGTTCGGAAATATCAAGTCGTATATTATGAAAATTTCTTTTAGTTTTCGCACTAGACTTTTTATTAACTAATTTAAAAAGAAAAGAATATGATGCACATATAATTTTCCGACTTGTATATTATACGATATTATTTTTCTCTTATCTTTGATTAGGAAGCTTGTAATGAACTAGAATCCGGCTTCCAAGATAAGCTTTTATTTCTTCAAAAAGTACCCTTATTCACAATACATAATATTGATACACGAATACATTTTAAAATAATATGAATCGGTTATTCATTCCATCTTGGTTATACTCTAGTTCATCACGGCCATGAGCTTGGTATAGCATTATCTTCTCTCTATTGAACTAGATACAACATAGATTCGTTGCTTTTCCACATGAATATACCGCAAATGATTAAGATGATAAAAAGTCTGAATTTTATTTTTTTAACTATATGTCTAATTTAAAATTTGTTTCCTTTTGACTGCTTATTAAAGAGTTTATTTCGATTGATAAGGCAGTTATATATCGCACAAGTTCAAACCAAAATTTACCCTACATATACTTATATATGTATATATCCCTAGCATTGAGCCTTAATGAGTTTGCGTTAATGCATTGCTAAAGCGTTAAATTTCTTAAACTAATTTATGACTTGACTTCGAATATTTTTATTGGTTATGTCTAACTAGGTAATTATTCATGTTTATGCATATAAGGAGTTGTTATGCATTTAAGGGAATTCTGAGTAAATCGACTGTAAATATGAAGAGTATTTCTAAATTGCGCTTCGCTATTTTTTATATTGTATATCGATTTATCTTAAGTTCTTCAAACATGGACAAGTATCTTTGAAACCCAGTTTTTTTACATAGACAGGTGTCATTTGTGAGTCGATGCTGTATCTTTACATACAGCATGCTTATGGCCGGAGTGTTTGCTCAAAAACATATTTTATACTGCCATTTTATTTTTGTGTGCAACAGAAACTTGGCCTTTTATATGGAAAATATCAAGGATTGTTTGGAGCTCTATACTAATGTATAGTCTTTTTTGTTTTTAAAACTTGATTTTTGTATGATGAAATTAAAGTTGTAATCTCATTTCATATTTTCTCATCCTTTCACAGATACAGTCAAGCCAAGAGATTAGGTTCTTACACAGCTAACTCTGGTTTATTTGATTTTATGCATTTGGGCATGAATTACTTAGAGAATATATGGAGATTTAGACCAAAATCTTTTCAGATTACATACATGTTACAATTTTGGTTGCCCATATTCTTATAGTATTCTGGAATCGCACTTCCGGCTAGTTTTAACATTATTCAGTGTCTTTTTGTTCGTGGAAACCCAGCCTCCTCTTACTTGCCCTATGTATTTCTTGCTACAGTTTCATGGAACTTATTAGCTAGTTCGTTAGAGTGATCGATATATACATCAGGCTTTTTCAGATAAATTGAAAATCGCAGTTTACACTGACGATACATGCAATATAGATGAGTTTATTCATTTAAAGATAATGAACTGGAATCCGGCTTCCAATATTAGCTTTTATTTCTTTAATAAGTACTTTTATTCTTTTTAAATTGATATCGGGAAAATGGACCTTTTTTATTATATACTGACTGTGTTGGCTTAATTTTGTGACCAAATTTTCAGCACTGTCATTTTGTACTTAAATTCTCTCAAGAGATTTCCATTCATCATTGAAGAGGTTAGCGATACTGCTTTATTGAATTTTA